ACAATGTTTTAACCCGAATTCGACTTCTGCATGCCAGAACATGCACCGAAGGGCAGCACTTAGGCCTAACACATGGGCGCAACCGTACCTTCACTGAGTGGTGAAAGAACCTTTCAGGAACAGCCCGAGGAGGTCCCATCCTAACCATCTTCAGTAAAGCAGCCGACATCTTGGTTTTCTGGGTCATGAGGCGTTCACGTCTTGTCACCAAAAAAGACAACGGATTCTAAAGACGCATGAACGGTTTCATGATCTGGGGGCAGGCACATTCCTGCGTGTCGGGGTCTAGCGTCTAATGTTCCAGGTCCAAGTCACCTGCAGCTGCTGTGACAGCTGCTGCGCGAGCTGTTGCGGCGGAAGCTGTTGCGGCGGAAGCTGTTGCGCTTGCTGCTGTGGCTGCGGCTGCGCCAGCTGCTGTGGCTGCTGTGGCAGCTGGAAGTTCTGGGGCTGGGTGGCGGGCACCTGGCCCTGTGGAGGTGGGACCTGGTAGATCTGGATGGAGTCACGGCCTGGCATCGGCTCAGGTTGATGGTGCTCAGGTTGCTTGAGAAGCTCTTGGATGCGATGATCCAGTTGGGGCGGCTGTAACTCGTGGAGGGGCTGACCTTGTGGGTGCCTTTGCATCATCGCTGCCTGCTGCATTTGCACATGCTCGGGAAGCATAGTAGCAGGTACCGCTGGCTGCTGAGGGATGTACCCTGGTGGGGCGTGCTGTTGCATGGGTGGAGGCTGCTGGCCTGGCAGCATGGTTGCTGGGACACCTGGAAGCTTTGGGGGTACAAAGTGTGGCTGAGCTGCAAAGTTTGGCTGTGTCATGTGTGGATGCTGGTCAGGCAGCATAGTCGCCGGAACAGCTGTCTGCGGTGGTGCGTGACATCTCTGTGGTGCGAACTGCTGCTGAAAGTGCGGATGGTGCTCGGGCAGCATAGTCGCTGGAACCGTCCCTGGGTGCCTTGGTCAGTTCTCTGCCGTATGTCTGAAGCTTTGTCCAAAGGGCTGTGCAGTACTCCAAGAACCCGACCCTCAGCCACTTAACTGAACAGAAGCGCTGTCATTCTAACAGAGATCGAGCTGCGGCATGGGAAAGCCGTGCGGGGGCCTGTGTTGTTGTTGTTGTTGCCATTGGGTCTGGAAAACTGCCTCACGCATGCAGAACATCTTCATGTGGCCATGTTGCAGGGGAATCCCCTGATACGCCACAGACTGAATATACTCGCGGGGGCTTCAAAACCTTCCTTTTTTTTAAGGTACCCAGCAGAAGGGCCACAAGTTTTTGGGATTTATATTGGGGTCCCACCAAGGATGTCACCCTTGCGCACGAACTCTCAGCACCCAGTCTAGATTTGTATTTCAAGTCCTCAACATCCTGAAGCCTTAGCCCAACAACCCAAATCAAATACACGTAGCCCTCGCAAAGGCAAATCTTATCCAAGCTTCAGCCCATAACCATTTTGAGAGGTGAGCACCCCCCCGGCCTCAAGTTTAGATAGTACTGCTGAAGCCTGCCAGCAAAGTAGCTCTTATATTGGCCCTCATAGGGGGACCCCACCCGCTTTTTGGAAACCTCCATCTAAGTCTCCATTGCAGCTGGCAGTTCTGATACAGCAGTCATGCCACATAACCCCTAAGTGATTTGACTTAGTTTTGCCTGATTACTATCCGGAATGGCCCCGATAAAAGGTCCTGTTACAAGGTTAACTGTGTAAGTCAAGAGCCAAGAGAGCTGCCATGTAAACCCCGGACTCCAACCTTAAATCCTGAACCCGAAACATACAGACATACAGACACACATACACACGTACGTACGTACGTACGTACAGACGCACATGCATGCATACACATACACACACATGCACTTACATATAAACATATACACATATACATATACATGTACATGTGCATGTACATACACATATACATAGACATATACACATACATACAGGCATGCATACATACATGCGTGCATACATACATGCATGCATGCAGGCGTGCATACATGCATACACACATTCATGCATTCCTATATGCATGCATACAACACATACATGCATGAATACATACACACATACGTGCATGCATGCATGCATACATGCATACATGCTCATCCAATGTTGCAGCCCCTTGTAATTGCTCATCTATGGTATGCTATAATTAGAATATAGAAAAGATTGACTCAGGGGAGTGGTGTTTTTAAGAGTATGTAGGGGGAGGGGGAGTAATAGCCTGATAACAACTCAAACTCAGTGTCCCCCCCTAAACCCATCCACGCGGGGCCAGACCCTGCTGAGAAGCCCTGCCTCTGGGCTGCGGCCTCAGTGAACTCTGAAACCTTCTAAAGGGTAAAAGGGGTTACTGAGGGTTATATACAAGTCAAAGGGGCTTAAGGGGGCTCTATAGGATTAGACATTGATTGACTAACACAGGTTAAATTATATGGGTATAAGTAGGAGTTCGGGTTTCTAGCAATAAGAGGTTCCTTTTTGGGGTTTGCTATTTCTGAGGATTATAATATGTTGGCGGGCCTGTAAGGGGCCCCTAATTTTCGGAAGGTACCCTCTCATTGACAAGCTCCCAACAATAAGCGCTGAACCAACCCTTGTTAGGCTGTATTTGGGAGTCTATTGTGGGGCGAAAGGAATGAGGGGTGGGTGCTGTAATATATGGTAGTGGACCAAAATGCCTGGGGCCCAACGTGGCTATTATGCCCAAAAATGCATTCAGCTGTCCTTATAGACCTACAGGATCTCCAATGAATTGCCCCAAAGAGCCATAGATCAACTCCCATTCCACGCAATGCCTATAAACCACTTTGTATGCTAAGTTTCTGTTTCATTATCCATGTTGTTTGCCGTTTCATTCTCTATGATTGGGGTAACATCCCAATAGTATCCCTATATAGCCAGAAGTGAACGGAGGTGGGTTTTTCGTGTCAAAAACTAGCCCTGGAGATTTGAAGTCTACACATATGAGCTGCTTTTGGGAGCTCCACCTTTGTCCTGCGTTAAGGTAAAGCGGGAAGAGTGTACAATGTTTACCGTTGAGGATTTGGGGTTTGCGTCTTTGGCTACAGGCTACAGCTTAGTAGTTTCTACCCCTGATTAATGTGTATAGTCCATGAATATGTAGGTACTTGGAATTACATGTAAAGCTTAGGGTTTGAGTTCTGCTGGTCTGCGCCTTCAAAGACTTGAAGGAATCTCTGCCGGACATGTAAATTTGCCATTTCGAGCCTCCAAAAACACAATGCTCGCCATGCCTAAAGGACAACCATGTCTAATCTAATCCCCATCAGCTACCAGAACACCCCCCAGCCCAAATACACAGTTTCCAAACCCTCTCTTCAGATTCCCTTGCAACACCCTCCTTTGAAATGCCAACCCTATACAGTCCAGCCGATGGAGACTCTTCCTACAATAAGAGGATCCCCAAAGTTTGGAACCTATAGCTAACATGTGACGATAACAGGGTCCTAAGTTTGCAGGTTGGAGATACCGAAATCGAAGTCCTATTGTCATCGTAAACATCCCTGACAAGGGATGAGTGCTAAGGACCTGCAAGCCCGGCCCTCAACGCTGAGCCTACTATAGGGGCCTCAGATAATTATCAACATTATGTCGAGGTGTGTTTGAGATGCCCACATCAACTCCTTAGAAGCTCCCTTGAGCCTCAAGAAGGCGGCGCACTCTGTTCCAGAGGCCCGCTAAGCGTAGATATGTGTGGCGGCTTCCAGAAAACAAAGACTTCAAAAAAGATACCCATGTTACCCCTGGTATATACCCTGCTCTGTCCTTGATATCTCCTAAACACGTACGCTACAACATCCCTAATATATGTAGGTCTCTTGAATATCACACATTAGCAGCATGCCTTTCTGGAAGCTGCCTCATGAGAGGCCCGAAGAAGTTAGGGTGTCGTATCAGGCGAAATGGATAGCGGTGCTTGACATTACGCCAGCATGGGTTCAGCAGGCCCCTTGCCCAGTATAATGATGCTATGACAGTGGCGTTGCTCTTCAGGCCCCTTCGGCTAAGCTGACCGACGCTGCAACAAGGTTCTCGCGCCAGTGTAGAGCAAACAAACCAGAACCTCAGCGAAGATAACTTATCACAGTCTCATGTGAGGGTCATTTGACTGAACGTCCGAAACAACGTCATTTGTTGGAGATTTTATTGTCCACTATCCCTATATCCTATGTAACCCATTACAATGGATTCCATTCGATCTCCGAAATCCCAATATACAGCCATGTTACACTATACTATCCCAACATTACCTATCCTAGGGGTGGGGCCAGTGCCATGGAGTTAGTTCCAGGGCATCGAGAGCAAACCTTCCCAGACGCTTTATGAACTATAGCTATAGTCTAAACTCCTTAAAGCGGGTTATATAAGGGAATATGTAAGGAACTATCATAGGAGTTTAGACTGTGGCTCTTATGAACCCTTCATTTGCTAATACCACACCACTGCCTCGGTCACTTGTCCCTTTCAAGAAGGTAGAACCCGGAATGACTTCCAACATCATGTTGAGGTCTGTTTGAGATACCCTATACTATAACTATTGCAGTGGCGATAGAGCAACCGAAATTTGTAGCAACAGCACACCCAATCTGCACGCTAAAACACTTCTACAACCGGGATTGCAGAAAGTTCCTGACAAGCCCTGTCTCCATACAACGCCCTAAGAGGGACTTCATAATCCTTCATCCCCGTACAACGTCTCTGCATCGTGCAAGGCTTCAATTTTATGGAAGTCCCCAAATGGACACCCAATGTATGTAACCTCCACCCACCAACAACATGAAAATACGACCTCATATATCCGACATTCCGGGATTATCCTAGGGGCCCTATGAAACATGAACTGATGTGGCTTTATGGGGATTCTCTATGCGGACTACAGCCCATAGCATCCCAGATACTACCCCCCCCCCCCGCCCTACACTCTGAACCCCAGCAACCCACGCGCTCTTCCTGCAGATAGGGCTCCAAAACCAAGCCAAAAAAGCTCAAACCGAGGTTGGTGCAGGCGGAAGGCCTCGCAGCGCAAGGAAACTAATAAACAATAGAAATACCAGTATAAAATAAAAAGTAGTCATAGTAGTAATGATGAAAATACTACTAGCAAGAACAACAAGAATGATGATTAACAATAACAGCAATGGAGTTTGGGGGTTTGGATTAGGGTTTTGTGTAATGTTCCTTGTGTCAGATGGCTGGCTGTTGCAGTTCAGGCTTTTTCCCCTCCCACTGGGCTCGAAGCATAGGGTCTAGGGCTTCGGGATTCGGGGGTTTCTATTTGGCTCATTGTAGAGATCTCTGTCGTTAACTGGTTTTATGGTCAATGTTGCAGAGGCTGGGGAGGTCCGTTCTCAGGGACGGGAATATCTGATAACCCTAAACCCTAAACCCTCAATCCTTTCGAGCGCCCCAAGTCCCGACCTTTTCTAAGCTGTAGCTTCCAAGTCAGGCAGCCTTCCTTAACGCATTGTAAATCAACTTCTGATGCATTTGTAATGGATTGCGAGTCTGTTCTCGCCATTATGTAAGGGTATGGGGGTGGGGGGATTAGCAGCAGGAGGTACTTAAGTTGTTTCTTGCAATTTACTTACACCTCCTTGCCTACAGAACAGTAAGCCTCAACAGGGCGTCCCCTGAGCTACAATGACTGAATCCCATACGTAGAGACTCCCTGCTGCAGGGACAGCAGCTTTTGTCATTGTAGGCTGAATATACGATTGTCCTCAGGGCTCTCAGAGAAATTCAGGGATTGGGAGTTGCAGAGGCCTTCTAAGTTGAATAGCATCCAGGGGGTGACTTCGAAGAAGCTGTACAGAACGGATGAGGACAAGCATGGGCAAAAAGGATGCCGCTGTTGGCGTGTAAACCTAGAACCTACACCCTGAACCCTAAATAGTAGTTTCCATTTTCTTTTCCATTAGCCCAATATAATCCCAATATACTATATCTTCACCATCCAGAGCACAAAATGCTCCACCAGAATCTCCGAAGTCAGTGGCACGCCTGAAGGCATGCTAAAGCAACCGCCCGAAACCACCAAATCCCGAAACGAGAGGCATT